TTCTTGAAGAGATAATAGTAGGGTGAAGGCATGAAAAAAACGAAGACTGACTGGCATATTCATCAGAAGAAAAGAGTTCAACCTTGACTTAATCTAAACGAGGCGGAAAGTTAGATATTTGGATTCCTACTCATCTGAGTGATTATTGCTCCGAACCTATCAACTAATCTTGAATAAGAACATGAATTACTTTAGGCCTCTTAAGATGGTTAAGGGCTGATAGTTGGGCTTCTCAAGATGAAGTAAGTAGACTTCAGGATGCAATTGTGGGAAATTTAACTACCAGTCCCTAGATCAGCTTCAACAACCAAGGATGAGTCAAGTTATTATTCAAGATCTACTGGAAGATCCAAAAAATATGCATTAAGTATATAGTAGTGTATTTGCCTGTAATCGTAAATAAGCCTTAGCGTTATCGGTAATCTCATAATAAATGTGAATATTGAGAGGCCTAGATTACTTTGAGCACAACTGCACAACGAACCACTGGCGTCCATAGCTGTATGACAGTGCTAAAGTGTTGCCAGTTGACATACAAGATCCATTTTCTAAGACCATTAGGTATGCTGGAAACACAGCTTTCGTATAGTTTCATTTAGAAATGATCTCACCAATATCGATATAGTCTAGATGACTGATTAAAATCAATTAGATCTGCAAGGTTAGAAAAATCCCGAAGAGCCCACATAAGGTGCCGTAGATATGAAGACCAAAATGGCGTGGCCTTTTTTGATCGCTGTCTCCTTTAACTGCATAGTATTGGTTTAATCTCGTTTTCGCAACTTGGTCGGAGGGATAGGGAGAACTTGCAAAACTAACCTATTTATGCGTCCTTTGCCAAAATATTCATGATGATTTCCAGCATCGGAACGGTGACTTAGCACCTAACACTGACGATGCCAGCGAAACGACTGGGAATGTAGCAAGTCAACGGTCCGATACTGAAAATCATTGATAATACTATGGCAGAGGACAGAGGCCTGACTAGTTACATTCCACAAAGTCTAGCTGTTGCCCCGATCAAGTTGCGAAACAAGATCAAACCAACACTCTAAAGTGGCATAATTTGGCATCACTATTTATACTTCAATAAAATGAATAGTAACCAAGACGATGTCTATTCAAATATATCGTCAAAATAGGTAATATAAAGATATGAAGACCAAGATGGTGTGGCTTTTTGTGTGATCGCAGCCTCCTTTTTTTGTATAAATAATATAAAATTCACCATCAACGAACGGAAATCACTTAATTGGGCTAACAGATAGAAGGGTAAGAAAGTGGGTAAAATGGTATAAGAAATGATTAGATTGGGAAAACGAGATAAGACGCGAAATTAATATGAGTGAAAAAGAAGTCTTGCTAAAGTTTCCATAAGGAATGGTTTGAATGAGATATTCATCAAAAAGAGAAGGACAGGCTGGTTAGAGCTGATTTTAAGTGAGTTTTGAGGCAGAAAATAGTAGGATTTAAAGTTTTTTAATGTTTTCCTTTAAAAGTAAGACAAAAAAATCAAGTAATAAGGGGCTCAAATGCATTGTTCTGCATAAGTTTTTTTCTGATTACGATGTGGCGATGGTGGAATATGAATAGCGTTAGTAAAAAGTAAAGTGCGAAAAGATAAAATATATCAGCAGTGTTAATTTTAACTTGTTTTCGCAACATGGACGAAGAGACCTTGTGGAACGTACCTAGTCCTGTGTCCTCAGCTTTCCTCTTGGTTCTGGCAATTTGATGAGAGAATATCATTCCAATAAGGTCAATGTTATATTATATCAAGCTTCTTCGCAAAAATCAGAGAAGAAATATGATAGGGAGAGGGAAAAATTATCCATGTTTTTAGATATTAAATCTAACTCAAACATGATTTGAGTCAGATTCTCATCCCAGAGGATTTCCTGAAACTACAGATGAAAGACAAAATGTGGAAAAAGAGATCGGACTTAATCCAAAAGGGCACCAGAAGAAGCTGAATAAATATGGGATCTATAGATATCCTAAGACCCAACCATCCGGCAAAAATAAAGACGCCTCTGTGATGAAGGATCTTAGAGTCCTGACGAGATGAAGATAAAGCAGTCAATTTGTATTCCGTCTCTGTTGACCTGGAAACCACAGAGATCCTTAAGAAGGGAGTAAATTTTGAACTCCGGAATGAAACGAAGGCAATCAATGATATTTTAGTGGAGGTGATAAATACCTCTGAGAGGCTACCTGAGGTATCAAAAAGAATGATAGCAATGGAAATTATCCCAACAGTCTTGGAGCATAAAGAACACATGGATAGGAACGATATAACCAAGATATATAGAAAATTAGGAAAGAAACGATCAACTAGTCCTACAAGCTGACAAAGAAGGTGCCACAATGGTGATTGACAGGCAGGAATATACAGAATAAATGGAAAATATTATCGGGGCACTACAACTTATCGACTGTTAGCAAAAGACCCAACAGTAAAAATAAAAGTGACAATGCAAGAAATGCTGAAATAAATGAATTTAAAGGGGGAAATCGACAAATGGACAATGAATTCAATCATACGAAAAGATGCAAGAGCTCCAGCAGGATATGCCTTGTCGAAGGCACACAAAGGTTGAAAATCATTGAGACTGATTGTCAACGACAAACAGACCAATACATACATTAGCGAAATTTATCTGCCTCAAATTAAAGAAAGTGAATTACAGATTACCGAATAAAGTGAATAACTCATATGAATTTTGCAAAAGAATCAAAGGCACCAGTTTGGAAGGAAACAAACTTTTGATCAGCTTTGATGTACAGTCCATGTACACCAAGATCTCAGAAGAAAAAGCACTCACGACACTACAGAAGATCGTGGAAAAAGAAGAAGACATTCGGGAGACGAAGCGAATCCGTAAAGAGCACAACTCGATTAATCAACGTAGCAATAACAACTATATATTTCATATTCAGCGGCCACATGTATAAGCAAATATTTGGCTTGACTATGGGCTCACCATCTCACCTCTGCTGGCTAATGCCGACAAGGACAAGCTGGAGGAGGATTTCAAAATGTCACCTCAAGAGCCAAAAGTAATTATGCGATATTTGAATGACTACTTCGCAATCTGGTACCGTCTGATAAAATTAGACGGTTTACCGCTCTTCATAAACGAAATGGATTAAAGTCTAATTTAACATGGATGCGAAAGAGAACGGACACCTATCGTTCTTGGATGTGGAGGTAATTCGCTTCGAGGA